AATTTTGAGTATGTTTTAAATACCCCAAAACTCTTTTCATTTTCATCCAATGAGTTCGATTAGGATCACTCGTGAACTGACTCAATTCATTAATAGCACATGTTATATCTGATTATGCACACTTCGTGATATACATCATACTTCCTAATATTCTAGCACAATCCAATTGTGAGTAACTTTCATCTTCACTCTTTTGAAATTCAAAGCTCACATTTATTAGAGTCTTGACAATATTGAAATTCAAATATTTGAACTAGTCAAGTACCTTTTCAATGCAATGAGATCGTGACAATGCTAAACATTATGGAATACTAAGGATTCTTATACCTAAGATCACATCGGCAACTCCAAGATCTTTCACATCAAACTTGCCTTCTAGCATACGTTTAGTAGCATTTATGTCATTAGTGTCTCTACTGATGATCAAGATGCCATCAATAGACAAACAAACAATGACCTTGTGATTTTAATATAAACATATTTATCACTTACATCATTCTTAAATCCATTTGCCAACATGGTTTGGTCAAATTTCTTATGTCATTGTTTGGGTGCTTGTTTTAGTCCATAAAGTGACGTAACAAGTTCACACACTTTCTTTTCTTTAACAGGAACCACAAAACCCTCAGGTTGTTCCATTTAAATTTCTTCCTCCAATTCTCCATTTAAGAAAGTTTTTTCACATTCATTTGATGAATTTGGAGGTCATTATACCGCAGCTAAAAATATTAGCATCCGAATGAATGTAATTCTAGTTACTGACGAGTATGTGTCGACAAGATCAAGACCTTGTTTTTGTCTAAAGTCTTTGAAAAAAAATCTTGTTTTATATTTGTCAACAATTCCATCGACTTTCATTTTCCTTCTGAAGATTCACTTTGAACCCAAAGGTTTATTTTCGGGAGGAAGATCAACCAACTTCCAAAAGGATTGCTCAAGATTGAACCAATCGCACTATTGACACCATCTTTTCAAAAGGATGAGCCCACATAAGACATAGGAAATGTTACAAAATCGTATCCGGAGGTAGTAGATATCTTTTGACATTTACTACGCGTCTAAATCTCTTTATTAATTACATTCTCCTTTTGTTCTTTCCAAGGTCTTTTAGACCTTTCACTAGACTACTCAAGTCTGATTTTACAGTCCACAGTTCTTAGGTCCTATTTTAATTCTTTTAGGAATATAAACCTGGACTTTGGTTGGACACCCCCACACTTTGAAATATTTCAAGTTGGATTTCATTTCTTTCCATTTCTCATGTGGAATAGATTATGTCCTGAACAAATAAAAATGCTTTCTTTTTAAAAAGACAAAACTTTTTGTTGTTCCCTTTTGCAGTAAGGATAGTTTCTCCACACAAGTTTTGTGGTAAACCTGAACAAAAAAGTAATGCATCCATCATTTCTTTCAAAGTTGGGGTTTTTTTTCCTCCGCAATTTCATTAGAATGAGGTTAATAGGGCAGTAGTTTGATGGATAATTCCACTTTCCAAACATATTTCTGCAAAAGGAGATTTATACTCTCCATCCCTATCACTTCTTATTTTTTTCCCAATTGATTTTCAACTTCAGTATTATATTGTCTAGACGTTTCTATTGGTTCATCCTTACCATTCAACAAATAGATATAACCATATCAAATGCAATTGTCAATAAAAGTTATGAGATACTTTTTTCCACCACGAGATGGTGTTGACTTCATATAAAAAATGTCAATGTAAATCAACTTTTAAGGGATTAGAATTTCTTTCAACAGATTTATAAGAATGCTTAGCATACTTAGATTCAATACAAACTTGACATTTTTATTTATTGCACTCAAAGTTAGACAAAACTTCTAAGTTGATCAGTTTTCCTTGCAAGGTTTTGTAATTAACATGTCCCAAGTGTTCATGTCACAAACAATTTGACTCAAACAAGTAAGAAAAATAAAAATATTGAGTTTGAACAGCTCTCCGCGAGGTAGCTTTTTCTCACAAATATTTTGTTCTTACTTCTTACAATTTTGTGTAACACAAACATTGTTTAGAGTCAACAACTTGTCAAATGTCCTTTTTAGAAGGACATTTCCATAACTTTCAATTTGATTGTTATAGAGCCACTCATGAACATAGTTTCATCGGGTCCAATAAAGACAATATAATCCAAATGCTTCTTTTACAAAACATGACAAATGACTATTCACCAATATTCATGTCTATACAAATAGTTATATTTAATAGACATATCTTTTCATGAAAAAATCACAACATTTTAAGTGACACTTTTTCATACAAGAACAAAATCATTTTGAACAAGTATACACATAATTTGGTAGTTTCATACTAGTCATACTATATACTAGTAAAAGAGAAACTCAACGACCACAATATCAAATATACTCCAAGAATTTTGTGGGTCTATCATAATACAAAAGTATCATCGAATTTCATATCTTGTGCTCCAAATTTAAATTAGACACTTAAGTCTAATTTTATTTTTGTCATAAGCAAAGAACCCTCCACATTTTAAATATGATCTAAAAAATATTTTCAAATAGTTGAAAATAATTTTTTCACATATTTTCCCAGACTATCAAAATGTCATTGGCAGCATGAAACCTCTTTTGGAAATATTATTCTACAAAAGAATTATAGTGCTTCAATTCTCTTTGACACTCTTTATATAATGTCAAAGTTCTTTCCATAGAGGCACCTATTGCAGGCACAAAATCACACACTTTAAGCCACTGATTTATTTTTTCTATCACAGTTAGGCATACCACTTAGTATTTAGAATATATACTGACAATAAAGACAAAACTTATTGTACAATTTATTTCTATTTAACAATGAAGTTTGTAGAAAACCAAAGTAAGACACTGACTTATTAGGTGAAGTTTCATATTCTTCAAACCAATTGTATAGTTCAATTTATCCAGAGTAGAAAACTACAAAAAAATTTAGTCTACAACAATCAGACACAATCGGATTTCACACGGAGTACAAAACTATAAAAGTTTTTTTTCTCTCCAAACAGAATAAAACATATTCTTAGATTATCACATAGAAATGCTTTTCTTTTTAATAGTCTTCCAACTATAACATTTTGACATACTGTTTTATCAAACAAAAATGTGCATCTCTTATTCTGCAAACTAAAGAATATTAAAGGCAACACTATTTGCCAAAAAAAAAATTCATTCCAAAACATATGGTTTGCAGATCTTTTTCCAAAGGTACACATGATAAATGTCAAAAGAGTTAACTTTTTGAAACTATTTTCCTCCTTAGATAAATAATAAGAAGATTACCTGGTGTAATCTTTATCTGGAATACCACCAATTTTTCGGGTACTTTCTCATTTCGACCTTCCTAAACAAGGCACCGAGTTCTGAAGAAGTTGTGCATTAATCTTCTACTTCCATGATATGTTTCCCTCAATCAGTAGAATACAAAAAATACCAACAGTATAATAATTTCCTTAAGATTGTTGTTCATCCTGTATTCTAAGATACTTAGAACAAAAACTTTGAAGAACTTGATAACAAACAACAAAGTTTAAAGAACATTTTCAAATTAAAACTAGAAAATTAAAACCAGTAGAGAAAATAGAATCAGACGCAGATTAGAAACAATATACAAAATATTTTTCTTAAAGAAGAAAATCGAGTCCACTGAATGCACTGTGTCCCCTTAAGGAAATTATTCCCCTCAAGTAGCCGAGGTTAATGGAATATATCCTCCCAGGATAGAACGATCTTACTCACCGGTGTACAGGTACCTAAAACCACGGTGTAAGCGAACAACTCAACAGCAGTAAAGTACACTTAGAATACTAGATTTAGTAGTAGCAGAAGAAGTCCAGAAAATTGGTTCTCTTAAAATGAGAGGAAATCCCTCAATTTATAGAAAACAAAGGGTAATGTGAAAAAGTTCTTATTGTACCTTACCGGAAAGGTCACAACCCTTTGGAAAAGTCACTATCTTTCGGAAAGGTCACAACCTTTCATAATAGTCACAACTTTTCATAAAAGTCACAACTCTTCATAAAAGTCGCAACTCTTCATTTTCCATTCACACCTTTTAAAACCCAACAAAATCAACGTTCTTAAGATTAAAGAGTCGATAAACTTGTGTGCTTAGACCATCTTCTCAAATAATTTTTTTAATTTTTTTATTTATTTATTTATAAAATCGATCTTTTGAATATTGATGATTGAAATAATAGAAGATGGTTATTTTATTAAAAAAAAAGTAAGAAAATTTTATGACCGCGCGAAGCACTATATTCACTAGTTTATTATTACTTCAAATCAATTTCTACTTTACCATTTATATTCACCAAATTCATTATTTTTTATCAAATATATTTACCAACCAAATTGACCAATTAATGGTTCAAAGTAACAATGTTGGTTCGTCTTTTCAGACATATGAACGAGAAATACAAGTTCAACGTGAGAAGATTGTTCGTACTATGTAGGAGGATTATATTAAAGACTAGTACACCACAACTTATGTTTAATTTTTTTTTATTGAATTAAAGCTTCATCAATAAATATTATATTTTTTTAAAATATCGTTGTGATAGTATATTATGCGATATTATTAACTTGTGCTTATTTGGTAAGATTGTATAAAGAATTGAAACAATTTTAAAGTTTTACAACTTATAAGGTTTTTATATTTATGAGAAAAAATATAACATAAAAAGTTCAAATTTATTTTCAAACAAAACATCAACTTCATCTCATGATTTCAAATTATGACTTCATATCACATGACCCAACGGCACCATAGTACCCAATTATTCATTTTAAAAGATATGTTACCTCTCCTATATAATTTGCGAGCTATTTATAAAAGCGGATTTTACCATGTGTGCACCTAAAGAATAACAAGTGCGATTTTCCTTGTCACCAAAAAGAATTATTCATTTTAAAAGATATACTATGATATTCTTTTGGTAATTTTAGCAGTCTTCACTCTCAAGGCAAAACCCCCAAAACCCCTCGAACGAACATAGCTGAAAAATCAAAGAAGAAGAGAAGAGCAGAGCAAGATGGATCTTAATGGGTTAGCGATGGATGTTGATGGGAACAATTTGGGCACTTGTTTAGCTAGCTTCGTTGATGATGGTACAGTTGAAAGTCACAGATACTTTCTTGCTCGCAGAACCATACTCGAAATGCTTAAAGATCGTGGTTTTGCAATACCCAATTCAGAAATCGACACTACACTTCAAGAATTCAGAGAAAAATATGGTCAAACACCTGATGTTGAGCGCCTAAGAGTTTCCGCAATGCACAGGAATGACCTAACCAATAAGGTCAGTTACCCCTTTTTTGAAATCGTCTCTTTTTACTGATTATTTTTGTCTAAAGTTGAAATCTTTTTGGGGAATGATTAAGCTTTTTATGTTTGGTTGATTACTTCAAAGCAAGTTTCTCCTATTTGCGTAAATTTCGTTTGCCAAAACTACTTGGCACCTGTGTTGGTGGGAGGGAGATGGTGCCCGGTGTATTAGTTGAGGTTTATGAAAGCTGGCCTGGGTACCCACGAAGTAATAAAACCTTGAAAGCAAGCTGCATTTGTGGTTGGGGTGGTTTTGTTGGGGAAATGTCCTTTTCTGTTCTTGGTTATATGGATGATAATAGATGATATTGGGAGAAGCTGCTTTTAACTTGTACTTCTTCTCCCAATTTTGTGACATTGTTCCTTTATATGGAGATTAAATATTTTCTTAACATTCTTTTTAAGAATGATTTTATTGACATTCTATTAAGAGAGATTTTGATCCATGTTACTTTATCTATAGTTTCTGAATATGTCAATTTGTTTTCAAAAAAATTGAGGAATCCATGTGGGAATCCACACCCCGAGTATTAGATGCTCTCATTCACATACCTGGAGTGAGGGACCCCGTCATTCTCTTTTCTGTCGGAGGGAGTATTTAATTGAATGTTTAACCCTTTAGTGAGGAAGTGAAATTGATATTAGAGCTGGATTCGAAACAATTCAAGAGTTTTTTTATGGAAAATGTTCATTGTATGACGTGATTTGAGCTGTTTCATGAAATGACTGATCTACTGGTGTATTTCTTGAGATTACATCTATTCTAAAAGGCCAAATATATAGATGGTCCCTTAAAGTATTGTAAAAAAGGCATATGCATGAGCTGGATTGGGAAATTTTCAGAAGGCATATGCAGGATAGGGAAATAGATAATCTTCTTACCTTGCTGGCCAGACTGGGGAGCTACACAATCCATGAGCAGGAAGTAGACACTATCAGATGGGGGAAAAAACAGATGGCCAATAATCAGTCAAGATAGGATACTTATCTCTCTGTGCTCAGAATCAAATGGTAGATAATTGTCCTTAGAAGCTTATATGGAGAACTAAACTTCCACCCAAGGTCGTTTATTTCACCTGGACAGTTCTGAAGGAGACATGCCTGATGAAAAGGAAAATTCAGCTATCCAACAGATGTTATATGTGTAAAAAGAGAAGCTGAAATTCCTGCCCATCTTTTTCTACATTGTGAAGTTGCCTTTGACTTTTGGAGCATGTTTATGTGCATTTCTGGCCTCAAATGGGTCACTCCTAAATCAGTAAGGGAAGCATACAGGTCTTGTTGTTTGTGGAAAGGTGAGAAATCCATCACGAATATCTGGAGAATGATTCCTGTTTGCATTTTTTGGAGTATTTGGTTACGAAGGAATGTGAGATGTTTTGATGGGGTCTCAACTCCCATAGATTCTTTAAAGGCTAAATGTATTGCTAGTTTATTTTTCTGTTCTAGGTTGTCCTCAGTGAATAGTCCAGATTAACTGCTGGACTTCAGTATCTCTGGCTTAGTCAGTTTTCCTATAGAAGCCAGTTTTTTTTTTGTAAGCTTCAATGACACATCGTGTAACCAATGCATCTTCTTGATGCTTTTCTTAAAAATGAAATCACTTCATCGAAAGAAAAAAGGTTGACGACAATTTTCATTTAGATTCTTTAACTATGCCCTTTACCTATTAAGCACTCCAAGTTCAATCAATATGTACCTATTAAAAACATAGCTCTGAAGTGACAAATAGCGTGAGTTTCACTGGGAAGAAGTGTGTGGGTGTTTTTCTTATGCTAACATTGAAGCCTTTTTTTGAGAAGGCTAACATGGAAGCCTTTAATCGTAAAAGAAAACCCTTCTCCTTCGTATCTCCCATTCTCAATTGAATCATCCCCCAGCTTTTTCACCTTCATCTTCCACCTCCTTCCTGCGCTCGGTCTCCAATCCTCTTTAACCAATAAATCCATAAAGCTCATCATCAGTCTCTTCACATGGGCTTCAAATCGAACTTTGCTTTCACAAATGAACACTATGCTTGTTCGCTGTGAAGATGGATTGGAGATATCAATTTTTTTACTTTAATGGTAGAGACATGAGGCCCACTTATGGGATCACACTAGATATGTTGTTGCAATGGTAGAGACGTGAGAGAGAGAATGAAAGAGATCTGAATGGTGCTCTTGTTTTCTCTTGCAGTGATGAAAAGTAAACCGAATGCTGGTTGACTATAAATTTAATCCAAATCACTAAAACTGCATAAACAACTCTGATGTTGTTCGGTGGTTGTCTTTTTTATAAGCTTCAACTCTTATTTTGCTGTGTTTTTCTCTGTATTATTTATTTATGTAGAAGGAACCTTAGCTTAGTAAGTGCGGATGTTATCTTTTCTTTTTTGGTTGAAGAAAGTAGATGAATGGAACTAGGAAAGAAGACAAATGGGGAGGGGTGGGGTTGAACCATTGAAGAAGACGAACTAGCTTGAGGACAGTTGAGGTGGTGGGGGGACAGTTTCTGAAAATAAATTTTCTATTTTTTTAAATTAGGGCAGGGGCCACGTGTCGTCCTTCCATTCATTCATTATCCATGTCACACGCGAGTGAATCTGACACATTTTGTGTCTTTTGCTGATTGTCACTTAAGTGTTTAATTTTGCACACATTAGCTGAAGTGCTAGTGTTAAGTCTGTGAAGATCTCGGTTAAAGTGCCTAGATGAAAATTGGTGGCAACTTTAAGGGGCTATCTATGTGTTTTTCTTCTAAAAATATGTTCAAATCTTGGATAGAAAAGGGTGGAATGTGAAGATGAAACTTGCAACTTCTGTAGATGATTAACATGTTCTGTCAGCGCGTTGAGTCAGCCTAGCTAGTAGTATTGATGCCTACTACTTCTCTTTTCGATGCCTTAAGTATAACGCTTTCAAGTTACTTTCACTGTGTCACTTTTTTTGACAAATCTTTCACTGTGTCACTTTATATGTTAGAAACAATACTTCGGTTATAATTAGAAGCACTTCCTAAAATAAAGCTTGATTGACAGCTTTTTATGACTAGTATTTTCATTTAGAAACTTATGGATGAACTCTCGATAGCATAATGTTTGAAATTCTAGGATAGTAGTGAGGGTACTGTGTCTGATAAAGGTGATTGCACTACAAGATGGTTAAGCCAATTCTTGTAGTGGGGTATGAACTTTGATGTAGGGAAAACTGAGATGTAGAATTATGCTTTACTTTTTTGCATTAAGCATGGAAAATAAATTCTAAAATGTATGGTATTTAGATTTTTGCATAGTCTTTTGAGAGGTTGTTTGTACTTTGCACAGCTCATTTCTGAGCTCGATATCCAAATTTCTCCTTTTGGGTTCATGTATCTTCAAATTTATTGTTGATCAGTGCTGGAAGCGCATCAATTCTGTTATGTCTGTTAGATCTTATGTGAAAAGAATGCGTTCTACGTATCCATAAGTCTTATGGAAATTTGGAGGCTTGTCTGGGTTCAATAAAACATATGGAAACTCAAATCATCAAAATTTAAGAAGCCAAAAAAGTCGTTGTTGCCTTAACTGGGTAGATGCCTAAGCATTTTGGAAGATGGTCTCTAATGAAGAACATGCATGTGCCTCATAGATTTATTAACGTCTTATATATTTGAACTGGTCGCAGGTTTTGGTCATCTTCTGTGGGCCAAATGCCGTGAAAGTGAATGTCATCCGCAGCATTTTAACTCAAATAATGAACAAGGAATCTTTGAGTCGGCTGATATTGGTCATTCAAAATCAAATGACTAATCCAGCTATGAAAGCTGTGGAGCTTTTCTCATTTAAAGTTGAAATTTTCCAGGTAAATTATGTGTTTCTTGTTGATGTTTTTGGTGAACAGTTCAAGTACAGGGAATAAAACAGGGTACTTAATTACTTATTAGGTTATTAGTAAGATGTGTTCTGCATTTGCTTTAAATATGCCTGCCAAGTGAGGCTAGATCTCAGAATGAATAATGATTTGTTATCATTGGCATTTACCTTAGAATGTAGAAAGAAAATCCTGATAGGTGTATGTTCAAAATGGCTTTCCCCATTTGAAGTCTCTTTTAGTTGCTTGGATTATTTAAAAGTTGTTCTTCTTGATGAAGAATGTTGGATTCTTAAAACTAACGAAAATGTATATGAAACATAAAGCATTTCCGATGTTCTGTGGACTTCCAAATGTTTCTAATGTCACCTGTGAAATAAGGAAAAAATTGAAAAATTCTTCCTTGTCTGGCTTAGAAGGAGCTACATTTACTTGGTTATTTGCTCCTGTTATTTATTTTTGCCAAGACAATTCCCAGTCTCCATTTTTCCATCGGATGAAGGTTCTGTTGTATTTGGTCAAAGTTTATTTTCCTTCGCTTATTAATAGTAGGAAATGCCTAAAAATGCTTTAATTTAGGAATATAAGTGAATTTTATGCAAGCCATAACCGTTGCGTCTCAGAAATATACTAAGTATCTGGCTCCTATTCCTCTTTCAGATCACAGATTTACTTGTCAACATCACAAAACATGTTTTAAAGCCAAGGCATGAGTTGTTGACCGACACTGAGAAGGAGAAGCTGTTGAAGAAGTACAACTTGGAAGAGAAGCAGGTTTGCCTTTGACAGCCTTTGAATTTTCAGAAACATGCCTGTATATCAGTACAATTGTCAATTGTATATTGTATCTCCTTAGTGTATCTTTTTAACCGCAACTTTCTACTAAAGCTTGATTCCTAGCTTCCTCACTTGAGTTTAGCCAGTAAAAAGATATCGTTTTTTTTTCTGAGAGCTTCACTCAAAAATGGACTTGCTGTTGAATTCCCAAAAGGCAAATATCATTTTCTCATACATTTTACAGTCCATAATCTGGTAAGAGTGTATCTCCTTGACCTTGATGTGGTCAGAGTAGCTGTTTCCATCTAGGCTTCACAGTTGATAAAAGTCGGTCCCTTTTGTCCCCAGCGAGATGGTTGAGACATTGAGTGGTTTTCACAGTTAGGCAGGATCCCAGATACTATGGCATTTTGAGCTAAGATCTAGAACTCTTTTGCATAAAGTGTTGTCTTTAAGGAGGTGAATAACAGGAGCCTTCTAGTACTTGTCTTTTCGGGAAAAGATTGGTAATTTAATCTAGCAGACCAGTGTTGGTGACTTCTCTGCATTACTTTAAAAAAAATTGCTTTATGTTCGTCGTTATCCCTTTACTGTGAGGGTGAAATGACTTAAATGCTGTTCTAAAACTTTTAGTTTAGGTACTTATAGATTGCTGCCTTGTTTTATTTAATGAATGGGAAGCATTACTTGCCCTGTCTCTCTCACACTACTTATCAGAATCAATATCTAGGACCTTACTTGTAGAGACAGGTTTCCGCGTTCATCTTATGCTGACCAATGGTATTGTTGCTGATCATTCTCTCCAGCAGAAATCCATAGTTCATAAGGCTATATATGCACTTCAATCTACCAATCTTTCTTCAAACATTATCAATGCAGTTTCGTTTTGTCTGAGTATTGTTATTGTATTGATGTTTTCCAGCTGCCGCGGATGTCCCAGAAGGATGCAATTGCTCGGTACTATGGACTTGAGAAGGGACAGGTGGTGAAGGTCACATACAGCAGTGAAATCATCGAGACACATGTTACTTATCGCTGTGTCTGGTGATGCAACTATGTAAATCTATCCTATGTAAGAAGTGTTGTTCTGTCGTACGATTGAATGAGTCTGCAGCAAGCAGCCTAGCTAACTTACCATATCTTGGTTCTGTTAACAACAGGCTATTTAAACTTTTTCCTGAACTCCCTCTTCCTCAACCCCTGGGGTTCCTCCCTTCTCAACCTTAGTTCAAATGAAGAGCTTGTAGGTAATATTTTAGTATATTGTTGCTGCCAGCCAAGATTGTCTTTACTTACTATTAAATTTTTAAAAATCGATAATTTTTAATTAATAAAAGAAAAGATTGAACAAACAAGTTGAGAAGCCAGATTTTTTTTCATTAGGAGGATTCGAAGATATAAAGAAATAAATACACTAAGTAATTGATTAAGGTAATTCAACATTTGACCATACAACTATTAGTGCTTGATTTCATTTTATTATCAATACAAATTTCCAATTTTGCCAATCCTCAAGTAAATTGGGTAAGTCACTTTTTTCTCACTCTTTCCATCTTCATTCCAAGCACTTGTGAATTTGTCAACAAAATCTTCACTTAACAACTCAACACCCTTTTCTTTTGCAGTTTGATAAGCTGGCCATGACTTTAAGTATGTAAAATAAGAATCCAAGTCCATAACTTTCTCAATCTTGAACTCAAATGGTCCATTATGATCACAACCATCTACAGCCTCAAATGGAAAATCAATTGTTTTGTACTTTTCATCCACCACTTTTCTTGGAGATTCCCAGTAAGGTCCAGAAACTATGTCAAATTTCTCAAAAACTGTAGCCACTGAGTTGTTAACTTGTGGCATAGTGTAACACCATGCTGCTATTACTCCATTTGGTTTCTTGAGTAGCCATTTTACTTGTGGATAGAAAGTTGGGAGATCAAACCAATGCATTGCTTGTGCACTTGTGACCAAATCTACACTTGACTCTGCTCCTATTTTGCTTTCGATTTCGGACATTGACATTTTGGCAGAGGTATGTATATATCGAACATTCGGAACCTTAGCTGCAAATTCAAGCTGCTTTGGACTTGTGTCTGTGGCTATAACATTCTTGTAGTACTTAGCTAACTGAGGAAAATAACAATTTGAGAGTATTTAGGACAAGAAAAAAAGTAGTTTGGTAGAGAAAAGGATGCATATTCTTTTTACTCTTTGTTAAGTACTCCCACTATTTCAATTATGTACCTGACTTTGTTGTCACACACTTTAATAAAGAAAGAAAAAAGACTTTTGGTACTTGTGGTGTTAAACTTATCGCAACATATATGTGGCTATAATGCCATGAAGGATGACGTTAAAAAAATAAAGTATATCCAAATATAGAAAAGTGACATTCTATCTCTTAAAAACTAATAAGAAAATAGTGTCACAAAAACTGGACCAAAAGCAGTATACATTGCGCTGTTTGACCATTTTCCAATAAAACATATATAGTAATAACTCAGATAAGCAAATGACAAAAAGTTTTAATTGTGTCACAATAACACACGAAGAAGTCAATGAGATTGAGCCATATGAGAGGAAAAAGAGAGACTTACAGATTTAGCAGCCTGGCCACTACCAGTGCCAACATCCCAAACAAGATCATGACAAGGTGTCTTTGGAGTTATGAAATTGAACAATTCTTCAGGGTAACTTGGCCTAACCTTTGAGTACATTAGTGCTTGCTTAATGTACAATTCTGCCATTCTTTTTTAGTCTCTCCTTTTTTTAACTCTCTGATATGATGAAGATTTGACATTATTGTTCCCTTTTATATATGTTGAGCATGTGGGAAGGACAAAAATTAAAGAATTCCACTACTAAAAAACGACGGAAGAAAAAGCGACGGACAACGTCGCTCCAAAAAAGCGACGGACTAAGAGATGCCGTCCGTCGCTTTTTAATTAAAATAATAATTTTTAAAATTATTTTACAAAAAGCGACGGACTGCATCTCTTAGTCCGACACTTTTTATTAAAAATAATTATTTACAAATTAAACAATAACCACGCTGTCCGTTGTTTAAATTTATTTTATTTTATTAATTAATTTTAAAAAAAAGCGACGGACGGCATCTCTTAGTCCGTCGCTTTTTGGTCAAAATATCTAGTCAAACATTTTTAAAAAGTGACGGACAGCGTCTCTTAGTCCGTCGCTTTTTAATTAATTTTTTTATTTATTTATTTTTGTTAAAAGCGACGGACGGCATTGCTTAGTCCGTCGCTTTTTTTTCGGGTATTTTTGCTAATTAATTATTTTATATAGATAGTGACGGAGTCCGTCGGTTTTTATTAAAAATAATTATTTATTATTTTAAAAAAAGTCATGCCGTCCGTCGCTTTTTATTAATTTTAATTGTTTAATTATTTTTTAAATTAGCGACGGACAACATCTTTATGTCCGTCGCTTCTTGGTCAAAATATCTGGTCAAATATTTTAAGAAAGCGACGGACAATGTCTCTTAGTCTGTCGCTTTTTGGTCAAACATTTTTTTTAAAAAAGCGACGGACATAGAGACGTTGTCCGTCGCTTTTTTAAAAATATATGCACTAGCAGACGCGATTTTCTCCATTTCTCCATATAAAAATAACAAAATTGAGAAATATTTTGATTTAATTTTATTTAAATCGTCTTCCGGATAATGGTTTTGTGTAAAATAAAAAACAAAAAAAATTATAATACCGACTTTCAGATGTCGGTAAAATTAAATAGTTTGTAATAAATTAATATTTTCAATTAACTTTAAATAAATCGTTCTCCGAATGACGGTTTTATATAAGTTAAAAAATAATTTAGTATAAAATACCGACCTCCCGATGTCAATATTATTTAATTAACATGATTACTTTTTATTTATCTTAAAATTTAATGTGATACCGACCTCATGAGGTCGGTATTTTTTATTATATCTAATTACTTTTAATAAAAGCGACATCCGGAGGTCGGTATGTTTAAAATATTTCTATTAATCATAATTTTGCTATTGTGCATAATATTAAATTTTCATTTTACACCTACGATTAATTGTTCAAAAAGTGTAACAATTTTGTATACTTTTACAAATAAAATGTTAGAATTCGTGAAATAAATAAAAAAATATCTATAATCCATATTTAGAGTATGAAACTACGTTGATATGAATTAGGAGATAATTATACTTATATTTATAGAGTAATGTACAAATCCTATCAGTCCGTCGTCTAATCATAAACTTAATATCTCATGTCATGATGTAGTAGAGGTGAAGAGCTAACATATAATTCATTCCAGTATGAAATGCTAGATAGTATTATTATATACGTTCGATCTTGAATGGATGTCAAGTGTAGTGATCACCTCCTAATTATGATGACATGTAAATGATACTTCATCGGAGTATGAAATACGTTGATTAATTATATATATATATTCCTCGAGTAGTTTAACAAATCAAGTCTTATATACTAGTGGTTCAGATATGAAATACATTATCAATTAAAGAAATATCGATGATCAATTAAAGGAGATTTATATATTAAATTTGATATTGATAAACTTTTGTTGATCAATAAAATTAAATTTATATAATTAGAAGGTATATAATTTAAATTTATAAAATTAACTTGATCGATATATATATATATATATATAATTTAACTACACATCAACAAAAGTTTAATTTAATAAATTTAATTTATCGATCAAGTTAATTTTATAAATTTAAATTATATACCTTCTAATTATATATATGGCCAAACACATATACAACCCCTCTAACTTGTCCACATTTTTCATTTTGGCACTTTATCTTAGCCTTGTTCCATTTTAACCCTTGAACTCCATTTTTTATGTTCCATTTTAACACGAAATACTATTTTTATGATTTATTTATTTTTATATATATTCTTCAATTGCAACTTCTTATTTTAAATCGACATGTGTCATTTAATTTTAGTTAAAAAATTAAAAATTAACAAAAAATAATTCTTTTTAAAAAATAATAATTTCTTTTTAAGAGTGTTATGTATTTTTGTGTGAAAAATAACCGACGAAATTGTGTTGATTTTCTTTCTTTAAAATCCTGACAACCTTATAACAAAGTCAGTCGAGTTGTAACATTGTTTAGTAGTGTTATTAGCAATGAACAAGAGTCTTTTTTTAGTAGTGTTATTAACTAAGTCAATCGAGTCATTTTGAAGATGGGTTTTTTTATTCGTATTGATTTATATTAAAAATTAAAAGTGAGTATTTGCATTAAATTTAGATAGCCTAGATGATAAGAAAAAATAAATAAGTAGTGTTATTTAATTTGATTGAATGTTTAAGAAAGAAAATCAAAGAACTTTTGTCAATTTATTTTCATGCAAAAATGCAGAGAAATATCAAAAAATAATATTATTATTTGAAAATTTTTATGTTCGTTCGCAAATGTTTAATTTTTTTAATTAACAGGCACACGTCTATATGTGTTTGGTATATATATGTAATTTTAATTAATAAAATCAACCTCAAAAGGTGAGTTTATATTAAAATAAATTAATAAATACCGACCTAAAGAGGTCGGTATATTTAAATAATTATTTTATTTAGATAATATCGACTTCACGATGTCGGTATGTTGCCACCCAATTTTGACAGACCTATAACCCTTTCGAAAGTGCTATTTGGTTAAATACGTGTTTTTTTTAAAAATATTCCGAGTTTAAATTTTTAATCGATTTTGTCTAAAAATTATATATCTTAGTTTGCATGCTTTATAAAATTATCGTAAATATTTTTAAAATTATAAGTAAAACTCGGAATAATTATTTTATTCAAATGTTTTAAAATTTAAGTGATTTTTATTATATAAAATATTATAATATTTGTAGTATTTTAATTGGATAGCATTTCTTTAATTTTTCTCGAAATCATTTAATTTTTAGCCCATTCTAATCTAATTCCTTTCAATTTTAGCTTTTCCCTTATTCAATTCATTGCAATTCTAGCCACCTCAATCCAATTTCGTTTTTCAATTATAGCCTCTTATATCAATTTTAGTTGCAATTTTAGCCATCCATTCATTGAAATTATAACCCCTTTGTCCAAATTTTGAAACATTAGTTTAAATCTTAACCGTCCATCCTTTAAGTGAATCCTAGATCAAATCCTAGCCGTTCATCTTAACTAATCCAATGGCTCATATTAAATCTACTAACCTTCCTATTTTTGACCTAAAAAAGACCAAACCCTCTAATCCCTCTA